AAACTGACGTCTGAGCATTAAATATTGTTATTACATTTCATCAAGTGTCGTGTTGACTGAAATCCGCGCGAGTGTTAGGAACATCACTGACAGGTAAGGCGATATTAAAAAGTTAAACCTTTTAAGCGTACAAATGTTCAGAAAGTAAGTAGAATCATGAACAAATAAACTGTAGAAGTGCATTTCTTCAGCGAACTTTCAGCGAACGATTAGGTTAGGAAACAGTCGCTACAAATCTCGAGAAGTTTAAGACATTCACAAAACAAACAAACACGTTTTTATTAAAAAGTGAAGAGCGTTTTCAGAACGCTGGACAGCGACATGATCCAAGCGTTCTGTTCTCGAGCCGTTCGGTAACACAGCAGGACGCTCGGGGAAGTCTCCGACGTCTTTTCTGTTTCCTCTCATTAATCTCAATTAGTCGACAACAACTTGAAAAAAGAGACCAGAAATAATATGCATTTGGATTTGGTAACTTTTCTAAATAAATGTGCATGAACGTGAAATGTAACGTCAAATACTTTTTATAATCACCCTCATAATGTGCAAAGCTGTCACTTTGCATTAGCACTTTTTATGAAACTTTATGTTTCTTATATGGCTCTTGCATTTGTTCTTTGTGCATGAAAAATATAGAAATCATTTGTACTAATCTGCACCTTCATGTGTGCTTGGCAGGTGCTGAAAATGGCAACCAAATACCTGATGCTTATTGCTTTGGGGACTGCAGTGATTGGCAGTGCGCACAGTTGCCCTGAGCAGTGCAAATGCTCTGATAAATCAAACCACCAGTTTACAGATTGTGCCTACAAAGAACTTCTGGAAGTGCCCGTGGGCTTGCCATCCAATGTGACCACCCTGAGTCTTTCAGCGAACAAGATTAAAGTGCTGAAACCCAAAAACTTTATAAATGTGACCCAGGTGACCTCTCTTTGGTTGGCTCACAATGAAATCATCACCATTGAGAGGGGCACCTTTGCTCCATTGATTCAGCTGAAAAATTTGGATATTAGCCACAACAAAATCGTGTATTTTCCATGGGAGGACTTGACCAATCTCACTGCCCTGCAGTTGTTGAAGATGAACAATAATGAGATGGTCAGCATCCCCAAGGATACTTTTGCCAACCTGAAGGAACTGCGTTCGGTCCGTATTAACAATAACAAGTTTACCACCATCGTGCAAGGAACGTTTGATGCTTTGGTTGCGATGGCTCACCTTCAAATCTTCCAAAACCCCTTCACCTGCTCCTGCAACCTTGAGTGGCTCAGGGACTGGATCAACAAATCCTCAATCTCCATCCCTGAGCAAAACAGCATTGTCTGCGATGCTCCTTCCCACCTCAGAGGCACTCAGGTCACTAGCATGCCCAAACTGGACTGCAAGGCCCCATCAGTGTCCATCACATATCAGCCAAACATTGAAAAAACTGAACTCTATGAGGGATATATGGTCATGCTTTACTGTGAAACTAAAGGAACCCCTAAACCTGAGGTCACATGGGAGATATACGCTGGAAACCAACTAATTACATTCCCTTTGCCGGCTGTTGTTGAAAAAATTGAGATTCCGATTAACGGACCACCTACGAACGCCAGGTTCCTTGTGTTTCAAAACGGCACCTTAATCATCCCTCGCATAAGCAAGAAAGAAGATGGAAACTACACATGCTCTGCTGTCAATGATATGGGGAGAGCCGAGCGCTCTGTGAGACTTGTTGTGGCAGGCACCAAAAAGCACGCCATGCTGGACCCAAAAGCATCCAGCCATTTACCAGAAGACAAACTTGGTTCAAAAGGCTCCAAAAACAGCGTTATTAGCATGTGGCCCAAATCTGAGGAGAAGACAAAGAGCCTTCCAACTGGAACATCTCTCATTACAGTGGATAAAGAGCAAGTGGAAGAAGGCACCGATACTTTGCCATTTGTTGGCAAATGCGGAATGAATGATGGCACACAGTACATCTCCAACCATGCTTTCAACCTCAGCTTGGATGAACTCAAACAGTACACATTTGATTTCGGAGTTATTGCTTTGGAAGTTTCAGAAACTGAGGCCAAAGTTCAGCTGAACCCTTTCCAGATGGCAAACGCGAAGTCCAACATTCACCTCAGCCAACAACAAGACCTCCAAACTGTGAATAAAGAGCCTTTTAGTCTTTTCCAGACATCCACCAAAAAGTCACCCCTGGACATGTTGTACCTTTGCGTCGGTACTGGCAATGGACATTCGGTGGTGCAGTGGTCCAAGATAGAGGAGGGCGTTAACAGCTATCGCTTCCAGGGCCTCAAGCCAGGAACTAATTACACCCTGTGCCTCACCTATGGGGGCCAGGACTGTCAAGTCCAAGTGGTCTTCACAACTAGAAAGAAAATCCCATCTTTGCTAATTATAGTGGTCGTTAGTATTTTTTTGCTAGCTCTGGCAACCGTTCCCCTGCTGGGTGCCACCTGCTGCCATTTGCTCTACAAGTATCAAGGCAAGACCTACAAGTTGATCATGAAGACGCAAAACCCAGATCAGATGGAAAAGCAAATAGCGACAGATTTCGACCCCAGGGCGTCTTTTGTGGGATCCGAGAAGAACTTCAACCCGAGTGAGCTGGAAGACGGAGAAGGCGAGGCTGATGGCGAGGAGGGGGACGGAGAAGGTGAGGACGTCGAGGGCAGCGTGGTGACTGAGTCCATTCCCGAGTCACAATCCAAAACGCAGGAGGAGTTTGAAGTTGGATCCGAGTACAGCGATCGGTTGCCGCTCGGGGCTGAGGCGGTAAACATATCTGCGGAGATCAACGGTAATTACAAACAACCCCGTTGAGATGTTTGTTGTTCGTTTGCTCTGAAACACAATACAAACCAGGTGAACACGGACTGTCAACTCACGTGATACAGACACGCGCTGAAAAAAAACGCGCGCTTATTTTTACCTCAGTAAGTTAGCAGTAAGTGCATACGATGAGTGTTCAATATTACAAATAGGGTTTTTGAGATTTATCGAGTGGACTGGACTTAAATGGACAAATATATCTTTAAAAAAACTCATAAAAATTCCGTAAGTCTTGTCACTTTAGCATAATCGTAAACGTACATTGTTTCAAGTAGCATCCATTTTAAGTAATCGAAGTAAGCGTTAATGTATAGTGGACATCGAGCGCTTCTGAGGAAAAAAAAAATCACCGTTACTCTTTTCACAGCATGTGTGTGTCTGGAAAACCAGCCAGATCACCTTGAAAAAAAAAGTTTGTTAAGTGTAATGTGGGATCCCAAAATGTGTGATTTTTAATCTCTTTGCGAACGGGTGCTTTAAAAATATCTCTCGCCTTTATGAACTGACTGAACGTGTCCTTTCTTCTCTTTGAGATAGCCTACTTGTTCGTGGCATGTCACACAAAAGTATTTTCAAGTGTGTTTTATTAGGATACTATAGACTGTAGATATTAAATGTCGATTTGTGATGTAAGCCAAGTAACCTGAGAAGATGTTCTCTCTTTTTTTATAAGCATTAATGGTCCGTTTTTACCATCAGTCAAAACGACAACGAGTGTCCAGTAAATTGACGCATAGTGGCTTGTTTCGTGTCCAACTGTCCAATGATGTTGTAAAAATACTCAAACCTTTTAAAGATTTTGATATGATTTTATGTACGTGACCTTAATAAAATATGGAACGAACAAATGTATTGGACATTGTTTGCAAACGCAGAACGTGTTTGTAGAATGCAGACAAGCTCTCCAGCACAAATCACACAGTTCAGTAAAATCATAAATAATTTGAAGTCCGTTCGCTGGACATTGAACGCTGGCGAGGAAACTTCCTGCAAAACGCCGCCTGAAAGGAGCTCAGGTACAACATGTTTTTGCTTTTATTTTAATTAGCAAAAATAACAAAGACCCGTGTAATATATGATTCGTGTTTTTGTTTGTCTGAAACGAATATTTCAAAACAAATATATAAATAGTCTGAATATAGCCTTATATGATATTTATTGAACATTTAAATTCACGAAATTATTTACATTTAGAATAAAATGTGCCTACTAGTGCTTATTTTTCGTTATGGATATTGTAATGAATTCTTGAGAAAACTATTGTGTTGAACAAAAAAATGTGATTGCGGAACAGTTATTGCGCTCTCTCAACATATGTCTAGTCATATTTATTTTAAATATTCGTAATAACCCTATGAATCATACATGGCTGCACGGAAAAAAATCGTGAGCATACTTCTGATTTAAATGGTTTTCATTTGGTTTCATTAAAATATAAAATCATGCTGATTGACAAGTCTTTTCGCTACGCTGGAGATGGCACTATTTTCCTTAATTCAACACAGGGAGCATACTTTTATTTTTAATATTTATTTCATTTCAATCACAAATATGCCATAGGTAGCAGAACAATACATAATAGAGGGAAATATCAAAATTAAGTGTCAATGTGAGACAGATTGTATATTTTGTCAGAGATGGAAACAATTGTAATACAATTACAGTAGATGTTGTCATAATGAGAACAGACACAGATCAACCCATAAAGGACATTATTGGTTTAATCTATGATAAGAACATTCTCACCACTGGTCACACCAATGAGTGCAAAAATGAAGATGCTGAGTGGAAATGAATAATTCGTCAATTTGCAAACGAGCAGAACCTGTACATTCATAAATAGTCACACATACTAACCTCGCATCAAGCAGTTAGATGGGAGTTCAGTGCCAAACTAAATTTCCTGATACGCTAAGTCCAAGAGCGAGAGACAGTCTCACACACACACATGCAACAAAAGACACAATACATCCATCCATGCATTCACACACATGTGCAAAGGATCCGTTAACTACAACTGCATGAAGTTCTTCCCGAGGCACTGAGCTGTAAGTGCACTTAGCTAAAACACATGTGCTTCTCTGCTACACCAAAGCAAATAATACTATCATCAATATCTGGCCAGCAGCCATTAAGTATGAAAAGGCTGGGGGCAGGGAGAGCCGATCTGCTTCTCCGCATGGCGATGTTCAGTCCTCAGTTGTTGGTGGCGGCGCTTTCTGCTTCTTTGCTAGGCTCCTTGATGCTGTCTTCCTTTTTGCTGCCCTCCTTGGTGGTCCGGTTGAGGGCTCCGTTGATGAAGCTTTCAGAGGTTTATGCCAAAAATCATTAGGATATTGAGTGAAGATCATGTTCCATGAAGATATTTTGTAAATTTCCTACCGTACATATATTAAAACTTAATTTTTGATTAGTAATATTGGTCCGGTTGAGGGCTCCGTTGATGAAGCTTTCAGAGCTCTGGTGCTGGAAATGTTTCCTGGTGCCCACCAAAGACGGGTTGTTGACCAGTGTGTAGAGGAGCTGCCAGTGCGCTCGCGCCCGCTTGGCGTTGGACACCTTGTTCTGCTTCTTCTCTTGCTGGACCAGTTGAATACCTTAAAATGTTGAACATGTTAGAAACATGTGGATAAAGCTAAGTCAATTTCATTAATTATATATATATATATATACACTGTAAAAAATGACCGTGAATTTAACGGTAAAAGACTGTAAAAATTCTACAGTAAAATCCTGTTAAATGGTTAACGGTAAATTCCCCTACTATATACGGTGAAAAACTTTATTGGACATTACATGTATTGGACATTAATTTTACGGTAGTATACCATTTTTGGAAGTTAAAGTTATTGTCTCCCAAAATAAAGAATCGACTCTGAACAGCTGAAACGAGTCGTTAGTAATTCGAATCCCACTTCCGTGACGGCTGCACGTCACGGGGTAACACATTTGCATAATGCGCGCCTATGTTCTTCGTTGGCCAGCCGCGAACAATTTGACCCCGCCCACAAACACGTTATTCTACTGACGACTGCTTCTCTAATCTCAGGGAGTTCAACGCGGGATTCACAAAACGCTTGGATCAGTATCCTGTTTATTTGGACCAGCTGCTCCACTGAATCACAACCTGTAAGTATGATAAATAATAGATGTTTATATTTTCTATAGAGCG